ATTGGTCACGGTTTTTCGTTAATATCTCGGTAACGAAGCCTCAGTTTACATTGTTGCTAAGGAAAAAGTTGTTCCAATTCACCCCCCGAGTGCCCCATTTCCGGGTCGGAGGACATTTTTGGGACACCCTGTATACATATGACATATGATGTATATGTATATATACAAGAGTGTTAAAAAAAACCATTCAATATTTATGATACGTAGGACACACTGTACTAAGTAAAAAAAACCTTAGTAAACACAGGTCGAAAGGTCAACCGTTTCTGAGATATTAATATTTTTATCCAAAATAATTTCCTAATCTCAACTGGTTACACTGGGCACACTTTTACTCGATGAAAACAAGATTGCGCCATGCGCTTCCGCGATCATAACCAATCGTCAATATGACTCAGAGTACCACGTGACCGTGTTCCCCGCTCCCCGGAAACCGCTTTACCAACATTCAGCTTACCCTCCCTCCCTTTATTACTATGTCTATGATCTACCTCAATGTCAACTATCCTACAACAGTTGCGTGCAACTTGCGTAAAATATGTTCACATGAAGCGTTGTCTACAAAACCGTAGTAAAATGCGGAAATAGATGGCTACGGTTTTGTAGACAACAATTGTACATTATTGCTGGCAACTTACCCGAGACTTGTACACAACTGGTTATTAGGGAAGATTTTTACAATAGGCAGTAAAACTATTCATACTCCTGTTATATCCTGTTAGGAATATTACCTCTTTTCATTGCGCATTTTTATCTTATTACTTTCAAACGCGAAGAACGAACGAAAACTGTCAATTCAGCGACACATGAAAGCTTCGCGCGTAGTCAACCTTCCTCGAGGCGTTGATCGACGAAACGTTGACCGGCGGAACAGAAACATCAACAATTTCCAAAGACGCCACGACGACTCGAGAATTCTCTTACGAACAATAGCTTGTTGCTACCCCGTACCTTCCACGTTCTTCAATAAAAGAAGGGGGCAAGACCTCATAAAACGATTGTCCAAACCGGACAAGCTCTCTCAGTACGACGTCTCCCTTAGTTTTCGACTCGTGTGTGTCATTTCACCCACGGCAAGTTCGTTCGCCCTTCGACAGTCGCGCTTCACTTTAACTTTACACGCGACAGCGGGCTGAGTGATAACGGTCACTCAGCTGTTCAGTTTCGGGTTTCCGCTGCGATATCCCTTCCTTGTGCGACGCAATTTCGCGATTACGCGCGGCCTAACAGGCGAGTTCGATAAGACACCGGACCGCGAAGTGCAACGTCCGAGACGGCGACAACGTATCCCGCAGTGCCTGACACCTGTATCACGGCTCCGAGCGCCAGAAAGTCTTCCGCCGTTTCAAAGACCCGTAATCCCGATCGAACCGACTGAAAGCGACACGATACTATCATTCATCTTCATCATCATTGGTATGTCAAGAACTATATGTATCTTTTATTTTATTTAATTGTTAGAATACATCTTTGTTGTTATTATAAACGAGAGTGATTTCCTATCCCTCCCGTTACATATCCTAATTGCGTACTTCACCGGTAAGTTTAGACAGGGCGTTCTTTAGCACTTTAAAAGAGCCAGGACCCGAAATTATAAATAAAGTAACGACCGCAACGCGAGACCTAACACTTGCATATAAATTATAAATATGTAAATGTTAATAAAAGCGGTGTATATTCTCCCACATGTAGATTTGATAAACTATTTATGAAACTACATCTATTCTGAATTTATCTGTTACAAATATTCAAATGTTAGCAAGATATAAAAACGAATAAAACAAGAACATGTAAAAAGTAACATTACTAAAATGTCCATTAACGATGCATTTAGAATAAATTGTCTTGTAGTTAAGTGAAAAAATATATACTTTTTAGTTTCATGTTTCATGACTGTCATATTTATCCCTTAACCTTAAACTGAAGCATGGGATATTTTTATTCCTGTCAAATCATATAGATACACGCAATATGAATGGAATATATAACACTTCATTTGTGCTAATAGTACTCAGAATTCATGCTTTATCGGTAACGTCGTGTATTAACACTAAAACGGTAACTGGGCTACGTAGCCCTATGAACGTGGGACAGTTACTAAAATGTCCATTAACGATGCATTTAGAATAAATTGTCTTGTAGTTAAGTGAAAAAATATATACTTTTTAGTTTCATGTTTCATGACTGTCATATTTATCCCTTAACCTTAAACTGAAGCATGGGATATTTTTATTCCTGTCAAATCATATAGATACACGCAATATGAATGGAATATATAACACTTCATTTGTGCTAATAGTACTCAGAATTCATGCTTTATCGGTAACGTCGTGTATTGACACTAAAACGGTAACTGGGCTACGTAGCCCTATGAACGTGGGACAGAAAAAAGCATTGGATGATAGGTCTATTCTATACCTAGTCGGTGCTATTATAAATCGTTCTGAAATTCAAACGCGTCCCGGATTTCCGGCACTCGTTTTAGTACTGGCTCTTGTCACCTATGGCACTGCAAATCGACCAAGAAAGACCTATGAGATGTACCCCCGTGTACCGAACTGTGATCTAACCCTACTTGACCCTCCTCAACCCTACTCACGGCCATTTTACCTTATCTTGGATTGGCACGTCTAAAGTAAGTGTTCGTACATCGTATTATGATATTAGTTCTACTTAGCGACAATTCACATTATTATATTCTTCGTTTAGTAAAATATCAATCTTAATTTATTTTCATATATTTGACATTATTTTTTAAAATTTAGGGGAAAAATTATTCTGTTAGGTAACCGCTTGATATACTTTATTATCAATACGTAATATTATGTAAAAATGAAATGTTTTCATAAACATAATGAAATATTTTAAATGTTCGACAGTTTCCGATCATGAATGTTTATCCCTTTCTGATATTGTCATATAGTAGAGAAACAAGTTGATATTTGAAAAATGTTATAAATTTTGTGGATAGTTTAATATTTTTACATAAGTAAATGATGAATTATTTAAATATGTATTTCTAAAAAATTGTAATATCCTGTATACTCCTATTTTATCTTAAGTGAAACTCTTGTAATAAGATGTAATAGTGTAAAATATATTTTAGTAAATACATGAAAATAATAGTAATATAGGTTAATAATATACATTTAAATAAAAACCGAATATCAAACAGTATTTAGATTCACTTCTTTCATTCTAATAACCTTTATGTTCTTGCAGCACACAATGGCCAACAAATTGTTCATTTCATGTCTGAGACAAAATATTGCAATTCACATTCGTCAATCATCATCGGTAATACAATTTCCAGACAAAATTGGCAATAGAGATGTAGTAGGTCATGGATACAATGGAGAGGAATCATATATTGATCGTACTGACTATCCCATGCCTGCAATTCGTTTTAAAGCTAATACACCAGATATCATGGTAAAATAATTTTTATAATATTAAATTATATGCCATTTAAAAGAGAAATTACACAGAAATGTTGTACACAAATTTTAATTAAACATTATAGATAAGTCGGTTTGTTAAAAAGATATTTAATGCATCACTGTGTTGCATAGTTTGTAAAAAACAGATCAGTGTATTTAAGTTGACACAATTAAGTTGTTTTAATTGCCTATTTACATATAAAATATTATTGATGGAATTGCTTTCTGTGATTTTCCTACAAATTGAATTAATAAGAACAGTCATATTGGTCAACAACATGTTCTAAACCAATTTAATTTTATTAAATGGTTGTCATAATGTAGTACTATTTATGGTATTATTATTTCTTATCAATGTTCGCCCTAGGGTATTACATGACTTCTTATACTAGTTTCCTATTTGCCCTTAGTGCCATCTGCTCCCTTTTGCTTTCCTTCTTCATTTTCTTTCTCACTATATAACCTGTTGTTCTACTATCCAGCCCTAAACCTGTCATATGTATTTTTCTTCTAATTTCTCTATCCCTTCCCAGTCCTTCCAGCCCCACAGCTCAGCCCCAGAAGATACTATTTCCTCTACTATTGCGTCAAAGAGCTTCATTCTTCATTTAACATCCACCTTATACTTCCGTTTACTATTTATGGTATTATAAAACCACACTACATTTGCAATTATACTGATAAAACGGACATTATTCTTTATATAGGCATTAAGAGAGAAGGAAAAAGGAGATTGGAAGAAACTGTCTATTGACGAGAAAAAAGCATTATATCGTGCTAGTTTTTGTCAAACACTTTCAGAATTGCAAGCCCCAACAGGAGAATGGAAGGGACAGATTGGGATTGTATTTATGGGTATGGCCTTCAGTCTTTGGATGTATTATTTCCTCAAAACATTTGGTAAGTTAAAAATTTATTAATGTAACCTGTGCAGAATACTAGTTTGAGATAGATATTTTTTTTTACATTTTTTAAAAGCTAATTTATAATTATTCTGTCAATTAACTAGAATATTTATGAATATTCTCCTTTAGGCATATTAAAAATGATAAAACATGTATCAATTTCATATAACATTAATAAAATTTTACAGCATATGGACCACTACCAGAAACATTTGATGAGGAACACAGACTTGCTCAATTGGAGCGTATGCTAATACTTGAAGTCAATCCTATCAGTGGAATTAGCTCTAAAAAATAAATTTATCCAGCTTGTATTTAAAACATAGTATAAAAATATGTATTATATAGGGGCACTTATTTAATAAACAAAAGCAAATAAATGAAGTGTTACCATTAAAATAAGTGACTTTTAATATATATGTATAAATGAAGACGCAAATTGTTTTTACCAGGTAAATATACACAAATATTCATTCATTATTAACTTTTGTTCTTATTTTATCCAATTACTATGGTCTGTTTATCGAAAGAAGAGCCCTGGGATGTAGGTTCGACTTTTCGCGGTGTTGTCTCGATCGCGACACGTCTTCGGCGCTTGTCTCTCTCACTCTTCGCGTCTTGGCCAATGACGTTCGACCCAGTGATGTCAGAATCGTGGAACTTGGTTCCCCCACTATGACCTACCGGTGTCTCCCACTTTACTTCAACCGTTCTGACACAAGCATACCTCTAGATCAGTGCCACCAGGAGTCCTGGTCCAGGACACCAGGCCACGTGCCGAGGCAGGATGACTCTCGAGTGCTCGAGGGTTCTTCTTTCGATAAACAGACCATAAACTTCAATGATTTTATTAATCTGTTACATTTTTGTAATGACTACTAATCAATATTTCCTAAGTATATATTTTCTTTTATAAATTATTGATCAAGTATATTGCAAACTGAAATTGAAAATGTGAAATTATGTTACATTATTAAAACACAGTGTCTGAAATAATGACAATGACACAAAGAAACCTGTTATCACTGTTTATTGAAATTTTCTGTACTTATACATTGTTTAATAGTTTTTGAATACAGATAAACATAAATGTCAAATTTTTAATGAAATCTCACGAAAATTTGATCCCAATTAAAAAGTCTGTAATAATTCTTACAGTCAGCTGTAGAAAAAACATTACCAGTAAGAAAATTAATTATATAGTTGTATAGAAGTATATAAGATCCACATCCCAGCGTTCACAGCATACATACATCATAATATATAACTGTATACATAAGTACATATATGCATGTTGTAACAAGCAATTGATATTCTACTTATAAAATTGAATCACAGTTTATAATGTTTATAATTCTTGAATAACGTTTCATTCAATGTTATACAGAATATTGCCCAAATATTATAGAACTTGAAGGAAAGTGAATACTAGTGGTGTTTCTTTATCTCCTCACTCGAATTTAATAAGAGTTTGAATTATATTACAACTTGAATTAACACAAAATGCAATCGGGACAAAGATTCTTAATTGGTAAACATTCGTTATAACAGATGCATTTTCTTTCTCTATATCCGAAAAACAAAAATTTGTTGGAAGAACGGAATGTAATTTTTAATGAATTAAATGTAAGATATTTTCACAATACAACATTCAGAATTCTCAGTGATATCAAGGCCTTTCTACGTATTGTCATATACAAAATTTTTTGAAATGTTGCTCAGATTTAAAAAGTATTACAGAATACGTTTTAAATGCAATATCTGATACGTGCATTGAATTCACTTGACATTCGATCATGACATGTATGCTTACTATTATTTGATAATATAAAAATAATGTATCATTATTCAGGGGAGACTAAAAACTACAAACTAGTGTTATGAAATCAGCAATTATGTATAAAAAGTAAAGCATTACGCACAATTACGACTTCAAAAAACACAGTGTAAAACTCTAAAATGTATTATTTTTCAGCAATGAGTTAGTATTTTCAAAAATATTTTTATTAAAAATTTCTTGATCACCAGCACACGAACTTTATTAAAATCCGGAAAATATACCAAAACATTTTCATAACAGTACTGGACTTATGTACATATTACAGAAAAAGAAACAGATAATTTTCACATACCCATGGACGTGTCCATATTATCAAATGATAACATCATTGTAACAAATACTATTTTAGGTACATACAAAATAAAAAAAATTCATTAGGTAACTCTTAGACTTATTTTTCTATGTTTGATAATGTATATTACAATATTTACAATTGGTATGTCCCAATATCACCAATTTTTCTGTCGCCCCTTTGTTATAAGAATATAGTTCCATATAGAAAACTAAGTCTTTATCATCATTATTAGAGCTTGCTTTATAGCTTCATGAAATCTTAAGAAAACTGCACTGTAAATAATCTTTGCTTATATCGTTCGTATTATATAAATGTATTACAATAGGTTTTATCAATAGTTCCGATAAAACAATTGCTATTTGAAGATTGCAATAAGCGTGTAACATTATAAACAATAATTAATAAAATATGACACATTTTCTCAATGTTTCTTTTTTTTGTGTAATATGTGCAGTAATGCAAGAGAAAAGTAAAACTAAACCAATTTATATTACATTTCTGTACGTCTTTGGTATGTAAACTTTCGTACAGAATATAAAAAATATTTCTGGTGAAATGAAGAACTTAACTACGTTTGGAGCACTTCTTTGTCTCTATAAGAAAAAAAAAACAAAGAGTTTATCAACTCCTCGTATTATAGACACTGAGCCCCTCTGTACATTAAAGTGGAAAGGATAATTTAGTTGTGCGATGAAAGTTAATCAATGTCTTTTCACCACACGATTATGATATTGAGCTCGCTACTTAAGTGACAAACAAAATCCATATTTACTTTGCACGGTTCATCACCGTACACAATCTCCAGTACCACGAGGTGTAATGCACTGTTTTTTTCGTTTTACAGTTTGTGGTCTGGAACTTGGACTGTGACTATTGTTATTACTTCCATTACTATGAAGAGAATGTTTTGCTTTATTTTGTCCACTTATATTGTTGTTTATTCCACGATGATGATAATTTCCTCTGGAACTATGGTGGTGATTGCCTACAATAAATAAATACCTATATGTATATCCTTGTGTGTGTATGTGTGCGCACGAGTGTGTACTTATTTATCTTAATTTAGTACTTTTAAAAAAATAAGAAGTTATTAACTTTATTTTAACAAATAATAGGATTAATATATAAATATGTCAAATTTTGAGTTATACAATATAATTTAGTAATATTATTACGACTATTCAAATAATTGGTTCTAAGATGTTAAATTAATTCAATAAGATTATTTTTCAATTTAAGCATACCATGAGCAGTTCCTTTAAATGGTTTTTTCCATTGTGAATGATGATGAGTATGTTGATTATTATATATATGTCTTTCTTTACTTCTATCTTCACCCTTCCCACCAGTATTAGGAGAATTACCGCGACTACATTCAGAATCCTTTTAACACAGAGAATGTACATTACAGTATAAATTAATATTAAATGTATAATACTATTTAAACGTAAATTTAAATAATGAAGACAATTATATTATTTTATTAAGAAATCTTTGATAGTGTACTGTGTCACTCGCTGGGGCAGAAAGTGTTGATGCATCAGATCCTGTTGAACTTGACAGTGAATCTACCTCACTCAAAGGTAGTGGGAATGTTTCTTTAATCCACTTGCGATATTCTATTACTTCATCTGTCACGCGAATTATTCTTCCTAGTATACTGTATATAATTTATTTTTAGAATTCGCTTTACACAATCTTGTTATAAAAATAGGGTCCAAATTTTCAATTTACAGATAATCTCACCTTACTTTATTTGCATCATTAACTAAAATATTTAAAGGACTAACTGCTTGTGAAAGGACATAGTAAGCCCAATCAAATGCATCTTTTACATACAATGCGCCATAACTACTACGGCCAATATCATTGCCAGGCGTAAGTGGATCTTCTATGCACAATAAAGAAGGTCGATGGCCATCTATCATATCTCGTTGAACCTGTAAATTATTCAACAGACTTATTAAATTTATTAAGATGTCAATAATAAATTTACACAAATATAATTAGTACTATTAAATTTGTATATAATGAATCACACACTGAATGTTAAAAATGGGAGATATTATGCAGAGTATCTCACGTAAATATCGTCACGAAATTTTAGGACTTTCCTTAAACATTACAAAACATTGTGTTAAACAAAAGTTGAACTATAAGTGTGAATAAGTTTCGTAAATCAGACTTTCTTTATCTGCATTTTTTTCGGAGATGTCGATGTTGTCTTTACTTTTTAAATATTCTTTATTAGAACGAAAAAAATACAATGTCGTGACGTATCAAGGTGTTCGTTCAAAAACCAATGTGAAGACGAAACTAAAATCTTTTAATAAAAAATATTCAAAAAATTTAGTTTTATTTTAAAAACAAAAAGTAACATTTATACCTCCGAAAAAAATGCAAACAAAGTGATTTACGAAAATTATGCACATTTAAATATAGTTTAACCTTTGTCTAACACAATTTTGTAAAGTTCAAAGAAAATCCCGGAATTTTGTGACGGCATTTACATGGGATATCTTGTATACTGTGGCCTATTATATTATAATTATTTAATACACGCAATTACATTGTATGCCTTCTCACAATCATACTTTATACAATATACTTATAACCATACACTTACACACGAGTACCGATATTTATAACCGATTCAACGGTGTATCGCCATTTTGAAGTTTTTTCAGTTTTTATTCCACATTTTTAAGTACAGATTGTAAAGCAATGAATAGAGTTAGAGACCTGGAATTGGTCTCATTGGAAATACCTTTTCGTAATCCAGGTCACATATGTATGAATTATTAAAATGACAGTTCACAAATCAGTGATTATTTAATACACAGACAACTTTTTAGAATAGCTCATCAAGCATTTTGACAACTTACACGTTCTGTTCAATGAATTATTTCATAAAGTTATACATTACCTCTTCCTTCGATATGTAAGTACCACCATCTTTTACACGAATTCCTGTCTTTACATAATTAAATTTCCTACCGTATAATTCCAAAAATTCTATTAATAGCACCCCAAGATTAGCATTTGAACAATAAGCATTTTGCCTGGGATGTAACTGAAACGAAAATTTTTCTATCTGGTAGGAACATCAATCTTTTATTTTTGATGGCACGAATTACCTTCAATTCATTGATTGAATGTATTAAATTTATAAAATATAACTTTATAATATTATAGTTTTTGTTTAATAATTATTTGTTGTTTGAGTATTTATATTTAAAAAAAAAAGATAATAACCTACCTGTAAAAAACTGATAGTCATAAGTATTAAACTGTACGAAGAGATTCCACCAGTAAAAACT